ATTCCTGCCAGAGCTCACACTTTCAAACAAGGAACTGGTCAGGGATGGGGTCAGTGCAGTGACCATGAGATAGTGACAGGATCTTGAGAGAAAAGAATAAGGCGAATATCACAGATCACAAACTGAACTTCAGGATAGCAGACTTTGGTCTCTTCAGAGGCCTGCTTGGAAGAAACCCAAGGAATATGGTCCTGAAGAGAGGAGGAGTCCAGGAGAGCTTGTCAAGGTTCATCTCCTTCAAGCTCGAGAACAAACCATTCTTCAGTCCATCCCAACATGCAGGTAGTTAAGCAAAGGCAGCTGGAAGCCTGCGTGGATGAACAAGGAACTTCTGACTAAACTCAGACAGGGTTTGTGACTCAGGTGAGGTGAGTGTCATAGTGATGCCACTCTTGATTATCTTTGAAAGATATCTGTGATTGGGCTGGTTTCTGAAGCCAGGAAGAAAGCAAATTTCACTGCTATTTTCGTGAAGGGCAAGAAAAAAGATCTGGGAAAATAGTAAGTCAGTCAGCCTCACTTCAATCACTGAGAAAATGATGGAGGAAATAATTTGAGAACCGTTTCTGAGCATATTAAGAATGACAGGTGACTGTAAGTAGTCAGCATGGATTTAGGAAGGTAAGATTGTGCCTGACCACTCTGATAGCCTTATACAGTGAGATTACTAGCTCGGTGGATGGGAGGAGAGGAGCAGATGTTGTTTGTCTTGACTTTATCAAGGCTTCTGACACTGTCTCTTATAACATGCTCATTGACAAACTCGTGAAATATGGCCTAGATAAATGGATAGTGAGGCAGTTTGAGCCTGGCGGGTCAGCCAGATTTTAATGACGTTTCAGCCAGTTTTCAAAAGGTTGTGATCAGTGGCATAAAGCGTCACAAAGCTGGAGGCCAGTCACTAATGGTGTACACCAGTGGTCAGTACTGGGGCCAGTACTGTTTAATATCTTCATTAGCTATCTGGATGATGTGGCAGGTTGTGAGTGGCTGGTGCATCAGAGGGTTCCTCTGCCATCCAGAGGGACCTCAACAGGCAGGAGAAGTGGGCAGACAGTAACTTCATGAAGTTCAACAAAGGGACATGCAAATCCCTTCACCTGGGCAGGGATAACCCCATACATCATGACACAATGGAGGCCAACTGGCTGGAAAGCAGCTTTGCAGGAAAGAACCTGGGGGTCCTAGTGGAGACCAAGTTAAATGTGAACTAGTAATGTGCCCTTGCAACAAAGGTGGCCAACAGCATCCTGGACTGCATTTAGAAGAGTGTTTTCAACAGGTTGAGGGAGGTCATCCTTCCCCTCTACACAGCCCTGGTAAGGGGCTACATCTGGAGTGCTGGGTCCAGTTTTGGGCTCCCCAGTACCACAGAGACACAGACATATCAGTGCAAATTTGGTGAATGGCCACTAAGGTGGTTAAGGAACTAGAGCATCTGTCATGTGAGGAGAGAGTCAGAGAGCTGGGACTGGTTAACCAGAAGAGAAGGCTCAGGGGAATTCTATCAATGTGCATAAAATATGTGAAGGTGATGAGTAAAGGAGGTGGAGCCAGGCTCTTTTGAGTGGTATCCAGTGAAAAAGAGGCACAAACTGAAATACAAGAAATTCCATTTAAATGTAACAAAAGACTTTTTTACCATGTGGGTGGTCAAACACCAGAGCAGATTGCCAGACAGGTTGTTGAATCAACCACCCTTGGAGAGGCTCAAAACCTAACGGGAAGCTGCCCTGAGCAGTCTGCTCTAACTGACCTGCTTTGAGCAGGGGTGGGGGGTTTAGACTAGGGGATCTCCAGAGGTTACTTCCCACCTTAACTGCTCTGCGTTTCTGTGGTAAACTAAGGAAAGACGTTCAGAGGAACCACGTTAGCAGTGTGGAGGAGCCAGGGACAGGCAGCTCTAAGCCACCTGTGGAGGAAGTGTAGTTGATGGTGACTATACTGATGAAGCTTTTCATTATTTTTCCCTTGATTTTAAATAAGCGTAATATTTTTCATTTTGGAAAATACAGTTTGACCTATGTTTCGTGTCAAAGGTCTGTTCCTGATTCTTAGATTTAAATTCTTTCAAGTTATTATTTACATCTATTGCCTGCATATTCATAAATTTATTTTTAATATTCCCTAAAACAGTATTGCAAACCAAATAAAACTAATAAATCTAAGGAAAATGTTGATATAGGAAGCATTTTATGTAAACTCATTAAGTGAAGGTAAAGGGTGAAATTCTCCCTTTCACTTGAAAAACTACCATTCTTTTTGAGGTAAATCTCAGTCTGAAGCCATTGTACTTTTTTATTGTAGATTTTGTCACATTAGTAGTGTCTTGGTGTTGGTTTGTACCTTTTAGAAGCAGGGGGAGGCAGAAGGTGAATGCTGTGTGTCAGAAGCAAGGAAGGACCCAGTGGAGTGGGTTAGAAATTAGTGTTCTTGAACTATCTGTTTATTTGGTTTGACAGCTGCTTTGTTAACGAATGGCACCGTGGTGTTTGAGTTCATTATGCATGTGGAGCTTTGTAATGTTCTTCCAGAAAGAGTAGTCAAAACACTGCAACAGGTTTCCCAGAGATGTTACAGAATCTTCATCCTTGGAAATATCCCCAATACCGTGGACAATGCCTGAACAAGACAGTGTAACTTCAGAGCTTGGCCCTGCTTTGGGCACTGTGTTGGACCAGATAACCTCCAGGAGCCTTTGCAGCCTGAGTTATTCTATAATTTTATGAAAATGTTACATAAGCAAATGCATTTCCAGGCCTTAATAATTCCCTATAACTGTGTTAAACTGTAAACAGGAAAGCAAAGTAAATACCCACTTTTTTCATGTCGTAAAGGTAACTTAGCTCACCCCTCCAAGGCCCTATAGCCAGAGGCTTGTTGGAGCCAGTATTATGGTTTTGCTCTTTCCATATAAACATATTTTTAGAATTAGGCACAAAGTTCAGGGACACTGAGACTGGAGCGCTTATTCACACTTGTTGGGGTTTGAAGTGTGCTGCTATCTGAAAAAACTTTTTATTTTGTTTTATAGTTGAAACAAATCTGTTACAATTATTTATGAAAAGTCAGAAAGTCTTCATACCAAAAAAAATCACCATCCATGCCAATAGATGAAAATGGAGAGAGCATGCTTTAATAAGGGTCCTTTAAGAGGAAGAAGGAAAATGTAGTACTTTGTTATGCTTTTGAGTGATTCTTATTTTGTTGTGATGGACCTAGCTTTTGGCCACGCTTTTGGAATCCAGGGCTTTTTTTACGTTGCCATAAAATATGTACAAGTTATTTGTGATAAATGAGAAACCATTTCTGAGGGGTATATATTTTTCCAAAGACTAAATCTCCAGTGTGTTAGAACAGCCTTTGTTTGAGGAAGGAGCACAGGCAGACTAGACCACAGAGCGAAGAGTATGAAGCAAATTTCCTCACCTATGTAGAATATAATTAGAGGACTTTTTGGAAATGTTCTCTTAAAAGATTATAACTTTAACAGTGACTAGAACTAATAATCTGTGCTGAATTGCTTTTTCTGAGTCAGGTGGTGCAGGGGGGGAATACTTCTTTTCTGTAGAAATGGCTTATGTGGACAAGCTCTTATGATTGTAGTTCTCACAGTGCTGTGACAGGACCTCCCAAGCCCAAGAATGGCATTACATCTCTTTCTTCATTCACTGCTAGTGAGAGACAGGTTTCAGGGTAGGGAGTGTGGATTGGGTTGTTAATACTGAAAATAGAGTGTAGAGTTGATGATATTAATAAAGACACTACTTTATTTGTGGAATAATAGCTGTGCCAGTTCATAGGAAAATGTTCAATTTTTTGCTTTATCTTTCTTTTGGTGTCTGTCTGATGTATTCAGAAAAACAAACCCTGCCATTATATTTGGAAAATTTTCTGTAGGAAGGGAAAAAAAAGGAAAACAATGCAGTGGTGATTGCTGCTTTTCTTTCAATGCTTGGAAAATATTTGGCTATTAGAGTGTTGGAGAAGAGCTTCTCCCTACCCTCTGTTACACTTTGGAAGAGAACTTCTTATCCTCTACAATTTCAATACTCAAGCTTTAAAAAGAGGCTAGAAGTATGTTGTCCAGGTCCTTCACTCTCTGCTGTGTGACTTCTTTTTGTGCCCAAGAGCTGAGCTATGTTGGCAAGTTTCAGATGAGACACCTCACAATCCTTCTTCCTCTGTACCACTTTCTCCTGGGACAGAAGTTGTCTCCCAGGCATGGCTTCCACTGGAGGTTTCTGTTCTCCTTAGGTACAATCTTCTGACGGTTGGACTTGATGATCCTGGAGGTCTTTTCCAACCTTAAAGATTCTATGATTCTATGGTTCTCGAGACTCAAACCAAGAAGAGAGCGGAGGTGGGTTGTTGGCCTGAAGTATAGTAGAGCTCGTTGCAAGAGCCCTGCAAATGTGGGTGAAGAGTTGGTTTGCATGTAGGAGCTGCTGTTAGAGTTACTGACAGTCTTGCCTGAGGAGCAATCCAGGAGTATCTGAGTGTTAGGTCTTAATCTGTGAGAACAGATGTTTTATCCCTAGCTACTGCTCTATATTATACAAAATTGATGGTTAAAATTTGTAACTCTTATTGCTGTATTCTTTTCATGACTTTTTTCCAGGTATCACTGCCCAGTGCCTAAAATTTTTTATGTCCAGTTAACTGTTGGCAACAGCGAGTTTTTTGGTGAAGGAAAGACTCGTCAAGCTGCTAGGCATAATGCTGCAATGAAGGCCCTTCAAGCTCTCCAGAATGAGCCTATTCCAGAAAAATTACCTCAGGTTTGTGTTTCAGAAAACTATTCCTAATCTTCACATTAAGATACCAAATCAAACAATTTACTTGCCAGTTTTTCAATGTTTAATTTTTAGTGGGTTTTTTTCACAATACTTAGACAGAAGTAAATAATATATATAAGTAACATCGATACGTACCTGGTTTGTATTCTGATAGCCCATGTATATATGTAATTTACCTAGCAAAATAAAATCTTTAATTAACATTCTCGCCAAATTTGGTCTATTTAGTGTCTGTTTAAATCAGTGTCTGTTAGGATGTGCAGGCCTTTAGAAGATGATGTCATCACAAATTGAGTTTCCTAAGTTCTTGTAGCATGCTGTAAGTGTTGCCTCTCCCGTGAGCTAATGAAGTAACTTCATTCTTCTGTTCACCAACATAAGTTATATATGTAAACTGAATCAAATTCACAATTAGCTATGAGAAAAATAGGGAAGACCTTCAGGAGACCATACCGTAGATTAGCTGAGACATTCACATACTACTTGCAAGACCTGTAGGAGCACTGTGAGTTTCTGGTGCAGCAGTTGAAGACCACTTGGGATACTTGTAGGATCTCAATGGCAGGTGTCTGTGGGTAGGAGACTAAATCCGAGTCCTCAGTCAGGAAAACCTCTGTGGCTTGGTCATGCTGAGGATAAAGGGAGCTGGTTGCAGGCTAGTCATGAAGACACATCTCTGCCACTTCATGGGTTAAAGTTGTAGGTGACTGGAAAGAGTAACACTATGCCTTAGATCATGATGGAGTACAAAGAACTGCATCGTGTGGAACTGACTGTAGCTGTCCAGAGAACTGGAGATTGGTTGAAGTAGAGTATAGGGGCGTCATGGTGCCAAGGTTCGTGTAAGGGCAGAAGGGACAATTGGGGATTTTCCAGACTGATGTATTTTTATTAATCATGAAATTTTAAACAGTGATTTCTACATTAGACTCTACATATCTTGTTAAGCTAGGGTATAGCTAGAAAACCTAAGCATTCTTGACTTAAAGGCTTGTTGACAGTCCTTACATTATTTTATGTAAATTATGACAGTGATTGATTATTCTCCATTTCAAAGATAGTTTGCAAGGTATTTCTCCTAAATTCACTTAGCTTCATTTTCTATCCAACTGGTATTTTCTTATCTTTGCTAAATGTAACAAACAAATATCAAAAATCTCTCCCCCATATACATTTACAGATTATGCTTAAGTAATTTTGAATCCTTTTATAAAACTGATTGCTTCCATAGTGTCTCAGTGTAAAGTTGTTTTATTCTAATCAGTAGTTCGTCCTCGTGTCTTTTTTTGTCAGCTTTTCAGATTATCAGTGTCCTTTATAAAACACAAACTTAATTTAATGCAATACTGAGTAAGATTCTCACTAAGGTTTTCTACAGAATAGTAATACCCCACTCTTTATGTTTGATACTCTTTATATCCCCAAAATATATTTTTACTTTTAGGTATTGACCTTTTAACTCTGTTCAGTTGATCTTTCTCACTGAACCTAATCAATGCTTTGCCTGTCCTATAATTAATGACATACATTCTTGATTTCAGTGGTGTTTTACATTTCATTATATGAAATAAACTAGAGGTCCTACATATTTTCATTGTGACTACCCTTGTTGCTGCTTTGCATTGCACCTTTTTTTTTTTTTCAGCAAGTTCTGTAAACTTTATAAAGTTTTGTTTTGTATTTAGCTCTAGATCACTGTCAGGGATGTAAATTGCTTTTTCAGACTTAAAATTTTGCAACCGTTTAATGAGACAAAACTTGCCCCAAGTCTGCATGCTCTAGCCAACTGCTGGATTTTTGGTCCTGCATTATCTTAAAGATTTATATAAGAGTTAACAAGTGGTAGATAAAAGATTGATAAATTTCATTGTTAGTGTGAAGAACATAATGCTTTTTTTAGTATTATTTTATAACTTTGGTGTGCATTTTGTAGCTATGCTGGTGGCTGAAGATTTGGATCAGACTTTGTTATGCAAGATGGGAACTCTGCAGGAATCCACCTAATTCAGCCCAAGTTTCTTTGATATTTACCTCCACTAATAAAAAATTAGGAGTGTGGCCAAGGTTACATGGTTGTTGAGAGATCCCAGTTTGAAACAATCAGAGTTTTGCAGTTTGAAAGTAGCTGAATGAGAACCAGGGAAGATGTGGCCAGGGGGACAAACACTAAAAGGCAGCGGTTGCAGAAGGTGATAACTCTTTGACTGATCCCCATGCTGGTGGTTGTCTGAGAAAAATAAGACTTACTTAAAGTGTAAAGCAAAGCTGAATTTTAGGCAGGATAATGTTTGCATGTGCCTTTTGTTGTTTTATCTCTTAGCCTCTCTGTTTGTTATGTTCCTATGGATAAATAAATAATGTTCTGTGTTGAGCAAGCTGTTCTCTGTCACTACCTTTTCACACTGGTCGTAACTCCCGGAGGGAAGTCGATGGAGAGGCCATTAACCAGCTGGACCTGCTGAGGACACCTGTAACCTGGTGACCCAGTCAAAGTGTGGGGGTGATACACTAAATTTCTTCTGAGAGAAGTACAGTCTTCTGTACTTCTTCCTTGCTGGAAGGGGTACCCACAGAGGGACTGAGAAACAGGTCAAAGGATCTGTTTGATCCTCATGTTTGACACAAGAAGTGTGTATTCAGATGATTATTATCCATGTCATTAATAAGACTAAAATCCATAGAAGTTATTTGACCATCTATTATTAATTTATAAATGCATGTGTATGTGTTCCTTTATTATGAACATAAGTGCATTATATATGGCTTCACGGTCAGTGGGAGTCTGATAATGGGATGCTGAGATGGATGTACAAACACTGATTTACAGCATGACAGGAGAACTCAAAAGTCTTTGAGAAATTGGGGGAGAAGCATATTGGGTTTTTTTATCTTCTCAAAATTGTAATATGATTATGTATTTTTCATTTTCAGAATGGGGAAACAGGAAAAGAATCAGAAGAAGACAAAGATGCAAACAAGTCTGAGATCAGTGTAGTATTTGAAATTGCTTTGAAGCGCAATATACCTGTCAGTTTTGAGGTATGTATTACGTATTTATCTGTTTGCTAAGAAAGTATTAAAAAAGTTGCCACTAAAACTCAACACAGTTAATAATATTAATACATTATGAATATGACATTTAAATTCATGCAAATTATAATTAAAAAATTGGTAGAGTACCAGAGTCTAAGACACTGAGGGTTTTACTATTGAATTAGATGCTCTTTCAGAAGTATTAGAGACCTAATATCTGTTTGCAAACAAGTGGATGGCAGAAACACAGTTCAGGCATCTTCTGTATGGTGCTGTAGGATTAGAATCAGTAGCCACACTCAACGTGATTTGAAATCATCTTCAAAACAGTCAGCCAAGTCTTTGCTTTAACTGTAGGCATACACTACAAAAGTTCTCATTGAGACACTTTGCAGCTGATGTGCTGTTTTCAGAAAGTCATCAGTATCTTTTTATCTTCCACACTGTTTGACTCCTTATCTATCTCTGCTTAAGCCTTTATGATTTTTTTTGTCTCATTTCATATGATTTTATCTATGAGCCTGCTTCTGGCACCTTTATTTACCTTAAGTAATAAAGAATATCTGGAATAGCTCGAATGCTATCAATGAACTAACTACAGGAGAATGAGTGATAGTAACAGGAAAGTTCTTAGACAAACTAGTTGTAAAAATCTAACGTTGTGTTAAGAACCACCAGATTTCAAGCTGGGGTTTTTTTCCTGCCTTGTTTTTAAACACAGAAAACGCTAATGTAAGTGGCTCTTTAAAGTTTTATTTTTCTGCTTTTTGTTTTGCATTTAAACTGAGTATATATGAACAACGTGGGTAGCGCCTATACTGGTGGTGGTTATTTTCTCCAGTGCTTTTCCTTTTGAAGTATAGGCACATATTTGCATGCCAAAAAATAAATTATGCTGTGGCATGCCTTACAGTGTGCTGTATGCAGTTTACTGACGTGTTTGGCCCATATCCATGAATTGGCCAATGTCAAATGAGCTATTTGAACCTTCTTAGAAATCTGAGAAATCTCTCAGAAGGTAGGCAAAAGAGCCAAAGACAAAGAATATTGGTTTTGACTAAGGAATTCCTCAGTATAGCAAATGCATATGTGCTTCATATATATGGTCTATGTAATATGCACTAATTAGAAAGTTAAGAGAATGTAAAATCTCGAGGGTGAAACTGGGGTGTCTGGGGATGTTGATGTATCAATTTGCAACTACATGGAAAGAACACAACTCTTACAGAAGATCAGACATAATGGAAACATGTGCCCGTGTTTCAGAAAGGAAGCTCATAACTAACGTTTTAGTTTTCACACATAATTTTCTACCTTAAGTATTTAAAAGTATTTGGAATAGTTCCATACAAATCAATACATTAAAATACAAGGAGATGTATGGTCATGGGTCACAGAATAGCTTGGAGATTGGAAAGAAAAGAGGGATAGTGCTTTGAATGTCTGTCTTAACTTCGTTCCTGTGTTTCAGCTTATTTAAGGGAGAACATTTGGTAAGGAGAGAATGAAGGCAGAGATACTTAGTACAGGAAAAGTCTAATGTGTCGCTTGCCAAAGAATGTTAACAACATTGAAAAAAGACAGTTTCTTGCTCTCCTGACAGATTTTGTGTTATTTCCTGCCTTTAAATCTAAGTATAGGTGACATTCTTAAATAGACTTTTGATTAAACTTGGTACTGGCTTATATTTCAGTAAAACTGCTAAGCAATTATGGGTAATCCCCAGGATCTGATGTTTCTAATAGGATTTTATTTACAAATGGTTTTGTGTTATTCCAGGCAGTCATCAAAGCTTTCTCTAGCTTTTTTTGTGTGCGATAGCTATAAAATGATCTGCCTTTTCTTCATGTGATGAAGCTTTAGCCAATGTTCCAACAGTGCTGTGTTATGCAACGAAGTAATGGTCATAAAGATATGTAAAGTTCTATGTAAACATGTCCTTAGAATTGCATGAGGGGTGGAGAACAGGAAGAGCATGGGCTTCTGCTGTCTATCCTGTTTCATGTAATGTGGCTAGTTTAAATTGCCTAGGAACTTTAGGATGAGTTTTAAGGAATTTCTATCTGTTAAATCGTTAACTGAAAAATTCAATTCTAACAAGGAACAAGCTTTACTCCATACGTATCACTGGTGCATCCTTAGCTAACCTTTATTCATCAACTTTTAAGTCAAAATGCAACTCCTCTAAGGCATTTGTGGAACTCTCAATGAACAATTTTTAAGGAGGGATACAAAACTGATTGCTGCAGGAATTGTTAGAATAGCTGTAAAATGGTCATTTTGCTTCTTATTCCTTCCTTGACAGTAGGCTAAAATCTTGTGCTTTTTTGGTTCTTTTGCAACATAGATGTTTTTTATTTCTGACTTGTCAGTAAGGAGTTGGGTGAGCCTAGAAGACATAACTGAGGTCAACAGCTTCAGGTTTGAGAAGATGTTGGGGTGTTTCAGATTGTCATTTTATTTTCAGGTTGTTTTTTTTTTTTTTTTTTTTGATTGGAGTATTATTTCTTTAGAATAGCAAATGCAATAATATCTTCTTCTCATTCTCAATATCAGGAGTGAGGCGATAAGAGTGCCTGAACAACAAATTTTCTGCCCCTCCATCCCCTTCCAGTGTTCTGCTGGGAAAAAGAGTTGCAGTTTCTTGTGTCCCAGTCTTATCACAGTGAGGCAGAGATTCTGTATTTTGAACCAGGAACAGACCAAATTGCTGACTCTGGGAGACTGAGCAAGTTCTTAGCAGGAAGTTTCACGCCCATCTGGCTCCTGCTTTCCTGGGGATTAAAGCTTTCAGATTGGATGATTGACATACTGAGCAGCTCTCATTTGGGTTTTGCATGATGGTCACCCTTCCTCACGCCAGTTTTAATAAAACATCCAGGCTTTTTTTTTTTCCTTAACTTGGAAAATCTGGTATATCTGCCCACATGAGCACACGGAAATATATTGGTATTTTAAAACTTCTAAATAATCATGGATGTAGGTGACATGGTTTTGTTGACCTGCTTTTTGTCACCTCTTTTATTTGATTTTTAAGTCCATTTAATCTTGTCATAATCTTTTGAATTTTCTACCTGCAGTCTCATTAATGATTGCAGCAGCATTGCTCTTTCATTGTAATCGTACTGCTGTTTTCCATTTCTCAGCAGGATTCATTAAGTTGAGCCAAATTCACTCTTGATGTAACTTGACCTTAGATGTGTTTTGGCCCCATGTTTTTTCCCTTGCTGGAGTTATTCTTTAAATCAGTGGAACAGAAAAAGAAAAGTGTATTGAACTGTCACCCTTAATCAAATTCTCAGCTTTAAATTAGCCGTGATTTGGTCCACAGGTCCTGTCTTTCAACTGAGGAAATAGTTTAATGCATATAGTGTTCTTGGATACCAAAGGCTGAATTTCTTCTCAGTGTTTTCTGTCCCTAGGCTTATAGCACAACTGTTTGAAATCATGTGGAGTAAAAAGATCTAAAATCTTTTAACCAAAAATGTTGTTATGTAATTTATTTTTTTTTCCCCTAAATTACCAAATTTGGATGTTTAGCTTGATCCGGATCCCAGCTGAATACTATGGGGTTCATTCCATTGACAACACAGGGTTTTTTTCTTTTATACACTAACAAAGAAACAGTTTTGAGTGTTTTCCAGGCAATTATTTACCTTGTGTAACATGCTTAAAAGTTTAAAAGATGAAAAACACACCGGAATACATTAGTTTTATATTAAGAAATATATATTGTAATGTATAAGAAAATATAATATGGTTTTGTATTAACATTCTTTTTAATATATATATTTGTGTGCATTTATGGATATATGAGAAAACTTACATAAAACTAATATTTTAGGAACTCGGCAATTATATTTCTTAAGCAAGTTATGTTGTCCTTTTTCATCTGGTCAGTATAGCTGTTCTTGTATATTTTATTAATACATTATATTGCATGTAAGTAGAAACACCTATATAATGGTATTAGTAAGACCTATAATGGTATTAGTAAGACCACGTAAAGATTAAGGACCTTAGTAAGGTTAATTAAGCTGTGTTTTACAGCCAGCGTGTTGTAATACTTGGATATCAATGTACAGGGGTGGATTAAGATACGCCTTTAAACCAGGGTGGGAAACGCTGCGGTGTGGTGAAGGTGCTGAGCACTGAGACGAAGCCCGACCGTGCCTGAGAGCGGGAGATCCTGGCGCTGGGCTCGTCCCAGCTCTGGTGCCGGCAGCGCAGGTTCCCGTGGCTCAGCACGGGTCAGTGCCTCGAAAGCGCCGCTGCCTTCTCGTGCGGTGTAGCGCTAGTGGGCAACTTGCAAGTGAGGCAATCTTGAAAACCCTGCTGAAATTATTACCTAGAATCTTAGAGTGGGAACACTCCTGGACTACCACAGAAAAATCCCATGCTGGCACAGATATCGTCTTATTCTGGGAAAATGCGGACAAAGTTGTCTGTTAATTTTCATTTTGTGTCTTTTTATTGATATATGCTGTGATAATTGTATTTGCTGGGCAAAGTTGCCACAAAAGAGAGCTTAAAAAAGAAATACAAGCCTAAGGAGACCTCATTACAGTGTAGCAGCAAAACTAAATAATGCCAGGGACATGACCTTGATAAAAAGAACTTTAATACAAAACATGTTGTAATAATATTAAGGTTGAAGGTTTCAGCCCATTAAAAATATAGTTATTACACCAAGAAGGCCCTAGCACCTTTACCTCAGTTCCTTTGCACGCAGGCATTATGCTTCTCCAACAAACGGTTTGATGTAATTTCACCTATTGAAAAAATATGTATATGTATTGATTTTGAAGATAATACAAAGAGATGCCTGTCAGATGCTCTAATGTCTCCTTATACACATTACATGTAACAAAGATTAAATTAGGTAGCTGCTTCCGCCCATCAAACAAAATAAGTGAACCTTTTCCCAAATGAGGTCTCTAATTCCTGATAGATATTGTCCAGACCAGTAAATGGTGCATACATGAAGAGATGGCTATCTTGGCACTTGCAGTGCTGTGATGTGTTGGTGAACGCATCCCAACAGTATAGCTTCCTAAAAGGAGACGTGTGTCTGTGGGAAAACGAAGACAGAAAAAATCTAAAGGAAGGTAGAGTGTTCAGAACTTCATTTATTTTCAATATTATTGTAACTTTTAAGAGTGGAGAAGTACTTCAAGTGGGTTTTCTCATTGTCACCCTGATTATGTTTGGAAAGGAATGAATAAGGGAATAAATGAAACTTTTCAGAACTGATTGGCTTTTGTGTGAATTATAGTGGCTCTTTTGATAATTCCTTTCGGTACTGTTGGGAGGGACAGCTGAGAGTTGTGGAGGCAAAACTGGGACAGCCTTTCAAATGTACGGGATGTTACTCTAAGTTGCATACTCTGGCAAGGTAAGAGTTGAGAGCAGGCATGCTGCCTGTGGCTAGGACAGCGTTAAAATATGCATCTCTAAGAGTTAAAATATACATCTCTAAGACTGAAGCTTGGGACCATGCGTGAACATCCTATGTTTTAATTATAACAGAAAAAAATTACGAACTGGTTGAAGTGATGCCATATAAATATAGTTTTGAGTATGGTTTATGTAAAGAAATAGCCAAAGCTTGGTAGACCTTCATAAATTGAATTTCTTTAGTATGTGAAGCACCTTGCAAAGAAAAAACCAGCAGCTTTGGTTTAAATATGCATTATTGTTGTGTATTGTGTTATTGTATAAATCTTTTTGAAAATACAGTTCTACTATATTTTCTGTGAAGCACTGAATATGATGGTTAACTTTGCTTTATCTAATTAGCCTTAATTTTCTGTCCTTAAACCTGGTACTGTCATTAATACTTGTCCAGATTTTATGAAAACCCATCTAAGCACCTTCAATTAGCAGGAAAACTACGTTAGTAGTAAGTACATTGCAGAAATACAAGCATTAAATTATGTTCCTATAGGGTGATTTGACTCAATGTTATTTTCGCTTAAAAGGTGATTAAAGAAAGTGGACCTCCTCACATGAAGAGTTTTGTTACACGAGTTACAGTAGGAGAATTCACTGCAGAAGGAGAAGGCAACAGTAAGAAACTCTCAAAGAAACGTGCTGCAATGGCTGTCCTACAAGAACTTAAGAAACTTCCTCCTCTTCCTGTGATTGAAAAGCCAAAACTTTACTTTAAAAAACGTCCAAAAACAATATTGAAGGTATGTGTCCACTTTTGACAGAATTAGGCATGTTTGCTCAGAATGTAACAGAGTTACTCGGATTTTAAATCGGTTAAGGCCTGCCATTTTCAGCTTAAGAATGGAGCTCACATCTCTGAAATCTTCAGGGGTTTGGTTCAAGTCTAGTGGAGCATCAAACCCTCCAAGCAGCTCTGGACAGCCACGTGAATTTTTAACATCATCTCCTCTGGGAGGCCCTACTGGCATCTGTGGTGGTTCAGTCCCTGGTCTTTCCTTCCTCCCCAGTTTGAAAAAGGACAGAGAGAGATGAAATAGTAGATACATGGGGAAATGGTGCACAATCCCGCTTCTTCCCCTCATGGAGATATATTTGGGAGTTTTGTGGTTTTCAGCTTCAATTTATTTTGATTTTTGAAAGATTTGAAAGAAAGCCAAGAGTATGTTGACATCTCAGCCTAGTGTGTCACTTGTCAAGCACCAAAGGGCAATAGTTTTTTTGTTTCACGTGCCTGTGTTTGATAATGCTTTTTAGCTCTCAAATGCAGATAGAAAATTGTCCGGAGACCAGCCCATGGAGGACTTGCGGACTTTGAACCATCTCTCCATTAAAACATACCCTGTCTTACAGAATATTAATATGCTTCTTGTTGCACTGATGAGGCTTCCTTTAGAGGCTCTGGATTCTTGTGAGCTCAAGCTTCTTAAATGATGCTTTTATTCTTGGTGGCATTATATTTATTGCTACTTCTACAATTCAGTCAGTCTGTGGTGACTAGCCCTGGTTTGTCTACTGATCCTAAACTCATACAAAACCAAAGGGTCATCTAAAGTAATTAGTCTTCCAAATGATCTAGCAAAAGCAGTCACATAGTGTCCATATATTTATGAAGCATCACTACATAGTCTCAGCACTGAACAACTAAACAGATTAATATGTCATCTGTTCAGTGCAGAAGACGAGGCTTTGGAAGTGGCCAAATCTGCTACACTGAATTTTATTTTAGGAAGTATCATTTTGTGAGGAAGTAGTTAAACTCTTTGTACATGATTTTCTATTGTATGGCATGTTGGATAGTCATTTAGGTATACATAAGGGCACATTAATAGCCTTTCATACTCATTTTAGGTCAGTGTAAATAATGGTGAGAGTTGATCACTTTCTGGTGTTACAGAGTCACTTTTGCCTCATACTATGCAGATCAGGAACCCTGAGACTAGAATTGCAGGAAGAAACAAGTAAACCTTCATGTCCAAAACCTGTGCTTCAGAATATAGTTTTAGGACCTAAATTTCATCCTTTTTTCTGTATTTGCCTCTTGTTAGTTAAAAAAAAAAAATCTTCAATTTTTCTGAGTTATGATATGTCCGTGGCTTGCATTATGTTAGGCTGGACAGCATTATACCAATACGGCTTGAACTCAGTCCTCATCGAGTGTTACATTGATGGGTTGTAAAAATAAGTAAATCAGTATTTACTTTACTAAAAGTATGACCATTAGAAATCTGTATACTCAGTACACCGAGTGAAGGGTTCTGTAGGAGCAGCCAACAGAAAAGCCACCTAAAATAAGCAAATACTTTGGATAGTGCAAAACTGTGTTTGGAAAATGTACAAAGGACTGACTTCATCATCTTCCTTTTTTCACTTGCCTTCAAAGCGGAATGAGTGATTTAAAAAAAAAATAAACCCCAGGTTAATTAGATACCCAGCTCTTACTGAAATTCTAGGGATCTAATTCTCAAAAATGTCTAGGAAAAAATGAGCATAAAAAATTACTGAATGGGAAACCATCAGCATTAATGCAGCTTTAAAGCTGCAAGATCTTAAAAGGCTATTTGCTCTAGCTGTCTCATTTTGGAGTTTTTCTCAAGAAAGATGCTAAGGGTATAATAATGTAAACATCTCTTATATTACCATATACCGATTACCATTACAATCTTAAATTGAATTATCCAAAATTGGCATTGTTAGAAAGAGATATTAATAGTCAAAATAACCTGGATATGTAGAAGGTTTTTATTTTTTTGAATATCCAAACTTCTGGAATGTTTTCAGTGTGCCCATTTTTTTTAATTTAACATGCACATGTTTTGAGCATCAAAAAAAAAGTGACAACAATACCTTCTTTTTATTTGTATATGTATCTTTATGAGGCTATTTCTTATGCCTTGCACTGTATTTAGCCTGCTCTGCATTTTGTCTCTGCCTGGCTTCTTGCCCACACAGCTGCCCTTGTGCTTGACATTGAAGTCTTTCACCTCCATCTTCTCTAACAACTTCAGCAGTTACACTATGTAAGATTCTCTGCACAGTTTGCTTAATGTAATATCCCTCTCTGGTCTTTGCCTTCATCATCTTTGCTGATCATCTCTTTAGGTTCTGGACCACTTGTTTGTTCTTATTTGAGAAGCTCAAACAAGCATGACGGCTGATCTTCTCTTATCCTAAAAATGGCCTCATGAAAGGGAAATAGCTCAATAACAGAAAAACAATTCTACATTCAAATGCCATTTACATTTGCAAGTTTGTTCTTTGTGTTATGGTATATAAATCAGATAAATATGACGTCAGAGAAATTTTTAGGAGTCTTAATCTCTTCTCCTTAGGAGCTACAAACAAATATTTTCATATCTATTTCATTTGAGAGAGCATTTGCCATCTGAGTCATAACATATTAAAAGGATTTCAGAACTGGATAGTTTGTAAGGACTGTAGTTTTTCACCTGTATAATCTTGTACAGACCAGTCTCTTGGCCCTTCTGTTTTCCTCCCCATCAGATCAATCCCCTCCCCACCCAACCACATATTTTGACATGTTACTGTGAGGATTATTGTCTGTTAAGCATTTGAAATACTTGTGGGTGGCTCTCCATATGCAGCATTCTAGCCATTGGAGATACTTGTCTCTAGCTTCACTACATAACTATATTTTGAGGGTGAATTCCTATGACACACAAACAGAGCAAACCTTCTACACCTTTAGTTGCACTGTAGGATAGAAGGCAGGAGTGCTGAGAAGGGAGGCAAGAAGGCTGAGAGAGGCAGCTTCCTTATTATATGGTAAATATTTTTGTCTCCATGTAAAACCCACCTCTTCTTAGCATACTGCATGTTCCAGCATTGTAACAATCTATTTCAAGGGGTTAGGGTCATAAAATAGGGCAGTGAGATACAATTGACTGATGAATCTGCTAATTTTCATTCATCCCCATAGGACCTCCATAGATAGATGAGAGCATTAGTAGCTTAGAGATGCTAGATGTGCACACTACCTGCAGCAGTGGCAGACAACAGGTGTGTATTTTTTGCCACAGTTTTGAGCTTGACCATTCTTATCATCCGTCTCATGATCAGAAGATGGGAAGAAATTTACTTCTTATTCTCTCAAGAGGGGTTTTAAAGAAGAGGTAACCCTGATAAATGATTTATTCAAGCAGCATAATAGTTGTATGGATATATGCTGAAATAATGCTTCTTTCTTTTAAACCTGTTTTAGACTGGACCAGAATACGGTCAAGGAATGAATCCCATCAGTCGTCTGGCTCAGATCCAACAGGCCAAAAAGGAGAAGGAGCCAGAGTACGTTCTTCTCTCAGAGAGAGGAATGCCTCGCCGCCGAGAGTTTGTTATGCAGGTATCATCTGCTGCCACATTGAGATAATGCCCTTGCTATGTTATGTTCAAACTCAAGCAAAACAGTGGCATAATATGAAGCGGACTGCTCTGAGTTTAGCTCTTTGCTTTATGGTCAGTTATACAAGAAGAGTTTGAAATGCAGCATCAGAAAGCCTGTTTGAACTTTCTTCTTTCTCTTGGTGAAAAAAATGGCAATTGGGTTATGTGCCTTCTAGATGCTTTTGTTGTCATGGCTTTGCATTTTTTATACTCTTCTTATTTTTATTTCACCTGATGGTTTCTGTCTTTATCCCTGAGGGTTCATGATTTATTTACTTTTACTTGTCTTTTTGAATTCTTTTTTTTGCTGTTGTTGATCAGAAGATTGCAATACAAACAAGTGTTCTGAAATATGGATATGAATATCTCCATATTACCAAACATTTTGGTTTAACAAAATAGTGCTGTAAATCTTTTCAGATTTTCAGTTTCTTTGTGGCTTTGTTCATATCTGAAATACCACAAAAAAACCTTCCATCATGTGTTTTAGCCTGTCCAGTTAAAGGCTCTGGACCTAATACAAAAACAGTAAATCATTAATGTTTCTTAAATTTTTAAATTAAGCACATTCACAAAGATTTGATATAACCATGATATTTTTTTAGATAGCACAACAGCAGGTTAAGAAAGGTTAGGAACAGGAAAGAATTCTTTTCTCTTGTGTTATCACTCAGGGTAGTTCTGTGCTGGAACAAATCAGAACAGCATACCTGAACATGTTTTGACTTGTTGTCTACAAACCACACCAAAATGTAACTTCTGATCACAAGCAGAATTTATCATGTTCCAGCACCTCCTCCTCCAGAAAATTAGTTATGTTTTCACCTAAATCTTTATGTCTCTCCTTCATATCAATCAAGATAGGCTAGCAATCTTCATTTCCATTGGACCTCAGTCACCTTTCTTGAAGATTTATTATTTTTTCTCTCTGAAGCAAAAGAAGATATTGGGTTCCTTTTGTTGCAGAATCTGACTTCTGAGTATTTACTTGGATTTCCAACTTTTCATGCGACGTGAAAGTATTTGAAAATGAGTGATCTTATCACAGACCATCCCTTTTCCCCTGCTCAGACCCCCATGGGAGTGTCCACAGCTAGAGATGATTGCGAGAGGTGTCAGAAGAGGACTGTATTAGAAAGATGGGCTGAGAATTTGGTTTTCCATTGGAGGAGTCTCAATAATGGCAAAATCTTTGGTTTGAATTAAAAAAAGATAATCTTAAAGAGCCAAAGACATTCCATAGATCAGTTGCTTTATTATGTATCCTTTTAAACACCATACCCCATTTTTACCCTTTTGTGATATTTTCACACTAAAATACTTCTGTTTCTCCTGCCTTCAGGAAGTCTCAGTGGATTCATTATGACATGCAAAAAATCTTATCAGAATAAAAAGCCTTTGTATAAACTACTTAAACAATGTTTTCATTTAATTTAATTGAATGTGGAAGTAAAATATCCAGAGATAATATGTTCATTTTTATCTGTCACACAAAGAGCAAGTTTAGATGTGATGAAATGGATCCAATTACTTGTCCTGACCACTAGATAAACAGAAGAAAACCTCTGATGACATTAGTTGGTGTTCTGTTCCCAAAGTTAATTTCAGAAAGCTCTTTCTCTTTGTAGTCAGACCTTTAATCCTTGATAGAGGTTATAATAATAGCTAAACCAGTTTTACAGGTCTGAGGAATAGCAACACATTGATTTATTGTGAGCTATGTTATAAATTATCGTTTTGTCTTGTCCCATTAAAGTTCCTCAATTTTATTGCATATAAACTTGTAGCAGATTGGCTATTTTCTAATTGTGATGATGGAACTGCATAGAAGATAAAATTTTTATTTCAAGATTATTCAGATCTGATCTTGAGATCACCTTGGCTATTTTCTTATTTTTATTTTGGTTTGGTTTCCTTTTTTAAACACACTTTTGAAACTGTTTAAAGATAAAATTTGGCCAGTAAAATGGCTTAATGGACAGAATGAAATACAGCTATCAAAGAGGTATGAATATTGCATAAGTGAATAGCAGTGACAGTGCTAATATCACAAACCAGACACATAAAGCTTCAGGAGTTCAAGAATGGTACCAAACCCAAGGAATGAGTTAGACCCTCACTCTTTGAGCGTATTCATTGTCTATAATTTGTCTTTATTTTGACGTTTTAATTTCTCCTGGTTTTATGAAAGGCATCTTGTTTGTCAGAAACCCTGCATGCAGCACAGACTACAGGTCCAACAAGGAGCCTTCTTTCCAAAGACTATTTTGATAAAAGCTTGTCGGGTGTAAGTGCAGAAAAGAAAGCAGCCCCAGCCCCTGTGTTCCTTGCAGTGCGACAAAGGGACGAAAATGTGAACATGGTTTTCATCTTTCTTTAGAAGCCACTTTCATTTAAATGTCTAGGTCACTGTTTGTGTCACTGTTGTTCTGGATATTGTCCTGATGACACTGGGGAGCTGCTGCAGGCAACACTCCTACAAGGACGAGGAAGCCTGATCTTGTAGCGCTTACCGTGTTAAGAAAGAGGGGGGAGCAAGAGTGGCAGGGATGTTCATCGGGGGAATGAACCAGCACAGAGGCTGGTGGAAGAGAGGGACAACTGTGTGTGCACTGATACAGAAAAATGTATGGTTTGGTACGAGTTTGGGGACCTTCTGAAAAATTAAGCAGACTCCTCTGTGTGAAGCGGTATTGTAGTCCCCTTCTGCTCTATTCTTACTTTTCAAAGATTGCATCGTCATCAAAACAGCTGATGGTTGTTGGTCGGTCAGCAAGATTATTACTCGGTGATATTAAGGAGTCTTGCATTTATTGTGATTATGATCAATGTTTTCTTTTCAAGGTAAAAGTAGGCAATGAGATTACTACTGGAACAGGCCCAAACAAGAAAATAGCTAAAAGAAATGCAGCAGAAGCAATGTTGCTACAGCTGGGTTACAAAGCCTCTACTCCTCTTCAAGACCAGCCAGAAAAGGTGAGAACTAATTGTTATGATGCCTACATTTTACCCTTGTCTAGATTTGTTAGCTATATCAGCTAACCAGTTAGTAAGAACAGCTTAAACTTGTGCACCCCCTTTTTTAGAACGTTGCTTGTCAGAGACCAGCCTTTGTTTAGCTACAGCTCTATTGCTACAGTTAGTAGTAAGTGCAGCTCTTGCTGTAAGAGTAATTAAGAACAGAAATGTAGTTCCAGAGGATAATGTGTGTGCAAAATTGTAAATGTGATGTATGCAACTATTTCTACTTACAAATCAGGATGAAAGTGCCTCTTGCTTT